GACCTGTTCACAGTTCCTCAGTCTGTCACAGATTTAACCATGCATGCACAGGGAAGAATGTGTCTTATGTAGGATGGAGAAGTATTACTGACTGAGACTCCCTTATTGTTGGTGTTCTACAATGCTCATTATTTTAAATTCTTTTTGTGATACATCAAAATACAAAGAGCTTAGCTCTTTCACATAAAAACCCACCAGCAACTCCAAAACTTGAGAATTACCAGAGAGATCAATACAATCAATGCCCCAACACTATCCTGCTGCTCCCACAACTACCAGTCCTTTTATTATTATTTCTGGTCATGTAGTGCCAGCCCTAGAAGCCCCAGCTGAGAGCAGGGCCCCATTATGTAAGGTACCATATACACAGAGTGAGAGTCAGTCAGTGAGCTCACAGACTAAACAAGCAAGACTGACCAAGGGTAGCAGGGAAAACAGGCACAGAAAAGTGAAGTGATGTGTCCAAGGTCACACAGCATAACAGCAGGGGAGCTGGGAATAGAAACCAGATCCCCTATTCACATGGCCTCTCCACTAGCCCTCTCTTGTAACACTGCTCATGCCCCCAAAACTTTGGTAATGAGTTGGACCTTGCTGCAAGCCATGGAGGTCAACAGCTTTGTGGTATTTTGGGCCAAGGAGTAGAGAAATGCATTCCAAACCGGAGGACCCATCATGAAGAACATCCTGCTGTGAGTTCCCTCTGTATTATACTGAGAGGGCTCCTGCTCAAATGCCTCCTCTGAACACCACTGCTGTAGTCTAGTGTGGGGAGAGAGGCAGTCTCTAACTTTCTGAACTATTGAACTTAGCCATATTTTGATGTGAGTTTACAGGAGACCTATGACCTATAGACACCAGACTGAATGTGTAGATGATAGTGAACCATCCTTAAGGAAAAAGAAAAGGAGTACTAGTGGCACCTTAGAGACGAACCAATTTATTTGAGCATAAACTTTCGTGAGCTACAGCTCACTTCATCAGATGCATTCAGTAGAAAATACAGTGAGGAGATTTATATACACACAGAACATGAAAAAATGGCAGTTATCATACACACTGTCAGGAGAGTGATCACTTAAGGTGAGCTATTACCATCAGGAGAGCGGGGCGGGGAGAGGGGGAGGAAAACCCTTTGTAGTGATAATCAAGGTGGGCCTTTTCCAGCAGTTAACAGGAACGTCCGAGGAGCTGTGTGGGGTTGGGGGGGGAGAGGGGAATAAACATGGGGAAATAGTTTTACTTTGTGTAATGACACATCCACTCCCAGTCTCTATTCAAGCCTAAGTTAATTGTATCCAATTTGCAAATTAATTCCAGTTCAGCAGACTCTCGTTGGAGTCTGTTTTTGAAGTCTTTTTGTTCTAATATTGCGACCTTTAGGTCTGAATTGAGTGACCAGAGAGATTGAAATGTTCTCCGACTGATTTATGAATGTTATAATTCTTGACATCTGATTTGTGTCCATTAATTCTTTTACGTAGAGAGTATCCAGTTTGACCAATGTACATGGCAGAGGGGCATTGCTGGCACATGATGGCATATATCACATTGGTAGATGTGCAGGTGAACAAGCCTCTGATAGTGTGGCTGATGTGATTAGGCCCTATGATGGTGTCCCTGAATAGATATGTGGACACAGTTGGCAACGGGCTTTGTTGCAAGGATAGGTTCCTGGGTTATTGTTTTTTTTGTGTGGTGTGTGGTTGCTGGTGAGTATTTGCTTCAGGTTGGGGGGCTGTCTGTAGGCAAGGACTGGCCTGTCTCCCAAGATTTGTGAGAGTGATGGGTCGTCCTTCAGGATAGGTTGTAGATCCTTGATGATGCGTTGGAGAGGTTTTAGTTGGGGGCTGAAGGTGACGGCTAGTGGCGTTCTGTTATTATCTTTGTTGGGCCTGTCCTGTAGTAGGTGACTTCTGGGTACTCTTCTGGCTCTGCCAATTTGTTTCTTCACTTCATCAGGTGGGTATTGTAGTTGTAAGAATGCTTGACAGAGATCTTGTAGGCGTTTTTCTCTGTCTGAGGGGTTGGAGCAAATGTGATTGTATCGTAGAGCTTGGCTGTAGACGATGGATCATGTGGTGTGGTCTGGGTGAAAGCTGGAGGCATGTAGGTAGGAATAGTGGTCAGTAGGTTACCGGTATACGGTGGTGTTTATGTGACTATTGCTTATTAGCACCGTAGTGTCCAGGAAGTGGGTCTCTTGTGTGGACTGGTCCAGGCTGAGGTTCATGTTGGGATGGAAATTGTTGAAATCATGGTGGAATTCCTCAAGGGCTTCTTTTCCATGGGTCCAGATGATGAAGATGTCATCAATGTAGCGGAAGTAGAGTAGGGGCATTAGGGGACGAGAGCTGAGGAAGCGTTGTTCTAAGTCAGCCATAAAAATGTTGGCATACTGTGGGGCCATGCGGGTACCCATAGCAGTGCCGCTGATTTGAAGGTATACATTGCCCCCAAATTTGAAATAGTTATGGGTAAGGACAAAGTCACAAAGTTCAGCCACCAGGTTTGCCGTGACATTATCGGGGATACTGTTCCTGACGGTTTGTAGTCCATCTTTGTGTGGAATGTTGGTGTAGAGGGCTTCTACATACATAATGGCCAGGATGGTGTTTTCAGGAAGATCACGGATGGACTGTAGTTTCCTCAGGAAGTCAGTGGTGTCTCGAAGATAGCTGGGAGTGCTGGTAGCGTAGGGCCTGAGGAGGGAGTCTACATAGCCAGACAATCCAGCTGTCAGGGTGCCAATGCCTGAGATGATGGGGCGTCCAGGATTTCCAGGTTTATGGATCTTGGGTAGCAGATAGAATACCTCTGGTCGGTTCCAGGGGTGTGTCTGTGCGGATTTGTTCTTGTGCTTTTTCAGGGAGTTTCTTGAGCAAATGCTGTAGTTTCTTTTGGTAACCCTCAGTGGGATCAGAGAGTAATGGCTTGTAGAAAGTGGTGTTGGAGAGCTGCCTAGAAGCCTCTTGTTCATATTCCGACCTATTCATGATGACGACAGCACCTCCTTTGTCAGCCTTTTTTATTATGATGTCAGAGTTGTTTCCGAGGCTGTGGATGGCATTGTGTTCTGCACGGTTGAGGTTATGGGGCAAGTGATGCTGCTTTTCCACAATTTCAGCCCGTGCATGTCGGCGGAAGCACTCTATGTAGAAGTCCAGTCTGTTGTTTTGACCTTCAGGAGGAGTCCACCTAGAATCCTTCTTTTTGTAGTGTTGGTAGGAAGGTCTCTGTGGATTAGTATGTTGTTCAGAGGTGTGTTGGAAATATTCCTTGGGTCACTTGATTTCAGACCTAAAGGTCGCAATATTAGAACAAAAAGACTTCAAAAACAGACTCCAATGAGAGACTGCTGAATTGGAATTAATTTGCAAATTGGATACAATTAACTTAGGCTTGAATAGAGACTGGGAGTGGATGTGTCATTGCACAAAGTAAAACTATTTCCCCATGTTTACTCCCACCTTGATTATCACTACAAAGGCCCCCCCTCCCCCCACTCTCCTGCTGGTAATAGCTCATCTTAAGTGATCACTCTCCTTACAGTGTGTATGATAACACCCATTTTTTCATGTTCTGTGTGTATATAAATTTCCTCACTGTATTTTCCACTGAATGCAACCGATGAAGTGAGCTGTAGCCCACGAAAGCTTATGCTCAAATAAATTGGTTAGTCTCTAAGGTGCAACTCGTACTCCTTTCCTTTTTGCGAATACAGACTAACACGGCTGCTACTCTGAAACCCATCCTTAAGGAATCATCTGCTTGATTTTCTTAATATTTCCTTTGACACTTTTACATGAGCAGATATGTGTGTCTACACATCTGCATCTTGGTTAAACAGTTGGACATCAGTTTTTCCTTTTTAGAGGTGGAATATCTCTTCCACCTGACATTACCTTTACTTAGTCAGGGCTGGGATTCCAAATCAGACTGTGGTAAGGCATAAATTGCCCTACAGCCTCCTTTTAAGAAAATTTGGCCTTGACGTAAGGAAGCATTTGGTGAGGGACCACTTTCCTTTTGAACCTGCAATAAGTCATCATTTCTGCTATGGGTCCCATTGGAGCTTTTCAGTGGAAGAACTACGCAGCTTAGAAAGAATGGTCCAGACTAGAAATGACTGATATTTCAGGCTAAAAAAATCTAAGAATTGAGAAGTACAAAGAAGTGCTGTGGCACCTGAGACATGCGAACCTGTGGTATAAAGAAATAATTCTCTTCTATTCAGCTGGAAAATGTACAGGAACAAAACATACAACCATATTTTGTAAATAATACCATCTAAAAGGGCTCCCAGTGGTCTGCAAGTAGCTGTAAAGTACGTTACAGCCCACCTCATGAAAACAGTGCAATTCATTTAATATTTATGTGGAGGTTTATAATATATAAAGAAAACAGGTGCATTGTAACACATCATCAGTTTCAGCGGCTGTGTCTTAGTTGGTGCCTGGCCCCTGGGCCAAACTCACAGAAGTTGCACTAGGAATATGGAGTGAAATCCAGGCTGAGAACTTTGGAAAACTACATCTGCTTGTGGCCCAGCTGGGCCTGTAAGGAGCTCAGGGAACTGGGTGCCCTGGTGGTGCCAAGCTCTGCAGGTGGCCCAGCTTCCAGCCAGAGACTTTGGAGAGCAGGGTGATCATTGGGACTGCAGCCCCTGCTGCTGGCAGGGAGGGGCCCTTGGGAAGTGTGGGGCTCCTAGGCTAGAAGCCCCCTTGGGAAGTGTGGGGCCCCCTGAGCTTGCAGCCCCCTGGGGAAGTGTGGGGCCCCTCGGAGCCAGGGAACTTGCTGGCCCCCACATGCTCCCTCGTGACAACACGGCAGGATACCGCCCCCACGACCTGTTGCCAGCCCTAGCAACCGTTGCTGAGTGAGGGCGGCGCTCGACTGTCTGGGCTGTTCGTTCTTGGGGCTTCCCCGCTCCGCGGCCTACAATCCCCATGGTGCCCCGCGGGGATGCCGTGCGTGACGCACGGGGAGGGGCGGGGCTCGTCTCTCCCCTGCTGTGTCCCCTTCCCTCGGCTCGGCGGGCGCCATGTTGGCTTGAGAGGAAGATGACAGGCAGCGGCTGCGGGCGCGGGGCAGAGAGCGGATCGCACTGAGACGGCCCCGGCCCACGGCGAGACGAGGCAGGGCAGCCCGCCCGGCACTGGGGTCCCCGCCGGGCCGCTGAGGGAGCCGTTGGACGGGGGAGGCAGCGGCGATGAGAGCAGAGACCTGAGGCTGCTGCGGGCTGGAGGCGGCTGCCGTTTAAATTCCCCTTGAGGCGCTGCCGCTCCCGGAGCGGTGTGGGGGAGGGCACCCCGGGCCGGGGAGAGACGCTGCCCTTCTCCCTCGCCCGCAGACACCGTGCAGGGTGGTCCGCCCCCGGCACCCCCGCCTCCTGGGAGGACACAAACTTCAGCCGCTCGCTCCGGCCGCCGGAAGGTCGCCCAGCCTGTCTGGGTCGCCCGCTTTAATGAGGAGGTGACTTGGGCGCAGAGCTATCCCGTGAATCATCCCGTCATTATCCGTCTGGGCTGGAGAAGGAAGAAAAACCCCCCGCCCGCAGTTCATGTCACTGTACAGCCCTGTCTGGTCCACCTGGCACCGCTGCTGCTGACAAGGATCTGCTGCCATCTCCGGGCTGCTGCTGTGCCCGCTGGAGACCGGCTCCTCTTGGATATTTCCCCCTCAACAAACAGCCTCCTCTCTGCGTATCCACCACTCACAGGAACATTGAACTTACTGCCGCCGAACCGGGCGCGGATCCCTTGCTGTGCGAGCTTGGTATTATTATTATTTTTTAAAAAAAGTTGTTTTAAACCACTAGAGTATAACAGCAAGATGTCCAGCAGTGTCCCAGCTGACATGGTAAGTACCGGGCGCCTTATTTGCTGTCGTTACTACAGCCATTGGTTGACAGTCTGTTGGGTGTGTGTTTGGGAGATGAAGACGGAAAAAGAGAGGGGTTCAGCAAAGAGGGTTAGCAGAAAATGACACTCCTGTCCCTTAAGGATGTAGGGGACAAAAAGTTCCAGCCTTCTAGTGTCTCCTTCCTCGCCCACCCTCCCCCCATACGTCCAGATGCTGCTTTGATTTTTCCTAAGGGAATCGGGGAGCTGCAGTGTCGTCTTGTATGTAGTAAGGCAACTCGGAGAGGTAATTGTCCTTCTCCTTTACCTACACTAGTGAATAGCTGTCTGCGTCCTTTCATTTTGTGTAGCTGTATTGTGTAACTCTGTGAAGCATTTTTGAATTATAATGTGTGAACGAGATGCTATACAAAATAAAACTGTACCGGAAACCATTTGTGTCCAAACCATAGCATACTGGAAAGCGTTTATGCTCCAGAACCAGCTGAAATTCGGCCCTATTCTCTCCTCCCACCTCCCTGGCTTCCCACCAACACTTTGGCATCTAGCATTGATAGGGAGATAATCTCTTCACTTGATACAGGTGAACAGGCAAAAACTCACATATGTATTTACACAATAAGATCTCTTGTGTACTAGCTGCAGTATTGACTTTTTTTCAAGGACAGTTGTATTTCTTTTAGTGAACTATACTTCGACCAGTATAGTTCTCTGTTGAGCTCCTGTTGGACCTGCCAGATCAATAAATTTAAAACCAGAAAGGTGTATAGATGGGCATGTTCTGGTGCTTTGGGGGGAGGAGGAGGGAGTTCTTGCACTAGTCTTTCAGGTCTGCTAATTAATCTATTTTCTGATGTTATATATTGAAAGAAACTGGTTAATACATTTTTATGTGTTAACTCTTTATTCTTACAGCAAAACTCTTCCACATATCACTTCATTCTTCATATTTCAAGGTGATTGGTGGTGACTTTGTTTTAGAGCAGAAGACACGTCCATGCTTCTGTCATTTGGTGTGAAATTACATTTTGCCTTGATAACCTAGTGCTGTAGAAAGAATTTAAAGATGGATAGCCCTTGTTTCAGGCATAGTAGGTATGCAGTTAATGTGCATATTCATGCTAATCAGGCTGTTGGAATAGTGGTACCATTTGGGAGCTTACTTTCATTGTTTCTTGCAGAGTGTCATTTTGGCTGCTGTAGAAAAATTAAATTTTGCCAAAAAAAGAGAAGTAATAAGATAAACGATTTAAAAAAAATTGGTGGCTGTGGGCTTTTTTTCCTCTCTCAGATATATTCTGTATATTATGACTTGGAGAATGGGGGGACTGTTGTCTCTGAGTTTGAATCCTTTGCAGTGTAATTTTCAGTCATAATATTATTTAGTGTATGTTTCCTTTCAGGGTCTCCTTAGCCCTGAGAATACGCTGAATAGTCTTTCCCCTTCCCCTCACTGACTAATGCGTCATATCACAGCAAATCTTACTCTAGCTGAGGAGGGCTGGATGCAAATCCCTTAGCATTGTTTTTGAAATTTGCTGGAGGGGTCTCTAGATAGCAACAGGAAGCACTCTTCTCTCCCCTTTCCCTGAGCTGAGCAAGTTGCCCCTCCACAGTACTCCTGGACCCTACCTACTTGGGAATCATTGTGCTGTCACTAGATATCTTGTGCTGAAGACTTGATTTTATATCAATGTACACATTTAAATGATAGAAATAAAAAAATTTTAGCTATAAAAACTGTTCTATCTTTTAAAAGTAGTAATTATTCTGATGCCATATTGGCACATTGCTACTAGTAAAATAGGCCTAAAGATATGCCCTTTGTTCATATTCAAGAAGATTGTTAGCAGTAGTGATTTTTTGGATATATGGGGATGAAATATCAAATGATAACATCAGTACCATTCATTTTAACTGGGGGTATAAATTCATGCTGGCTTTTTCAGGACCATTTCAATAGGTTTCTGCATTTTTTTTTTAGCTGCAGTTGTCTTGTCTTAACAGGCTTGAGTCATATACACTGTGGAAAATTGGGCTATTAAGTATGGATAAATTGTTAGAAGGAACATGGGGAAATGACACCCCCTTGAGTGCTGCAAGTTTCAGTGCTGTAAAATGCCAATATAGACAGTGCACCCGTGCTGGTAGCCATGCCCCTCGTGGAGGTGGGATTTTTAGAGCGCTGGGAGACCTCTCTCCCAGCGCTCTGCCGCAACTACACAAGTCAAGTTAAAGCGCTGCTGTGTAGACTAGCCCTTAGTCTCCTATTATCAACAACGTCCTCACTCCAAAAGCTCACATTTGCTAGTAATCGCTGTTTAAACTGATTGTTCCTAAAAGAGAAGCATTTATCAGGCTGTCACCTTGTTTGTTTGTATTTACTGTAGAGTCTTGGTAATTTGCATTTCCCTAATCCACCCACTCCATAATTTGTATGCACAAGCAATGGTCTTTTTCCCAGTTCTCAACGATTTAATAGTAGTCTAGAGGGATGTTGTATTACTAAAATTCATTACGTTTACAAAACCATTTACAAAACACTGAAGTATAATAAATAATTAAAACTAAACTGTATTTGTCAAATAAATGATTTAGTGTCTGCTTTTTATTATTTTAATGTCTACTTTGCAAAATGTAGTTATTTGCAATAGCTCTTTCTATCAGTGGAAATTAGCAGTGTTCTGGTGTGTGTGTGTGTGTGTGTGTGTGTGTGTGTGTGTGTATATATATATTCTGAATTTATATAAATCTATGGAAGCTGTACAGAAATTTCAAGCTAGTACAGTATTTGAATATGTGCAAAACTTTGACCTCTTTCTCGTCAGTCACGTTTGATTGACTTCCTCTAGAATTAGTCGCTTTTTATGTTGCTAAACATTTCAATACATCAGTCCTAAATGATTAACATCATAATTCTTTATCATTTGCATTCTATTAACAAAGTAGATTATGACACGTCACATTCCAGACATTATTTTATAAGTATGTGTTTTGCTGCTGCTGTTGCAATACATGCTACTCAAAGGTTAAGGCTCCAGTTTTTCAATAAAACCTGCTAGTGTTGACCTATGTGGCTGTGTGGCTTTTCATCAACTAATTAGGACTCTAGACATGTGTAGGGGTCAGTGGTAGCAGATTGTATTGCAGGATTAGATCATAATTTTGTTTGTTTTCTCATAGTTCCCTGTTTTAGAATATTGGGGGTGCCAGTGACCATAGGGATCATCTCTGAATATTTCAAACACTTTCACCAGAAAATTGACCAGTTTTGCCATGCAGTAGTGGTTGAAAATAGATTGTAGATAAGAGGTGATCTGTTTGCAAGTCATATTTCTTAAGTAAAAATAAGAAGGCACTAAGTGGTTTGCAGATTCATGTAGTTAATTTGACTCTACTCTTTTAACTTAATGAAAATATTTAGTTTTCTGTTTGAGTTTTGATATAAGCATAGTTGAGTGTTTCAGCACAAGTGACTCAAAACATGGGCTCAGTACAGAAGCTATTACTTAAATGAATAATTCCAGGGATTTCAGTGGGACTGTCATGTGAGCCATGTCTCTTGTACTGTTACTACACTCTTCCTTACAAATCTAATTTCTTTTCAAGGACTTCCATCTTTGAAAAGCACCTTGTATGGCTTAGTCTTAAACTGAGTCCTTCCTGCACCTTCAGACATTGCTTAGGGCATGAACAAGACTCTGCCACCCCTGATTATCCAGGGCCACCCTTTGTATGTCTTCTATGTTGTTAAGTCCCATACGTTTTCTCTCTCTGAGTAATGTTCGAGGGAGATATTCTTTTTGTTGACCCCTTTTGCATAGGCACCATGTAAACAACAAAACATTTATAAATTAGGAATTTATAGACTATTAAATTATTTTATACAGTCTGTTTGAATCCATATACTAAGACTTAAGCAAAAGACATCATGGTGTGTGGAATGCCTATTTTTAGTAAAACTTAATTAGCGTCTCCGGTGCTAGGCACTTAACAGACACAAGACAGGTGCTTGTCGGGCAGAAATACTATCGTCTTAATGGGTAATGAGGATAGTGGACAAAAGAAGGGCAGCAACAACAACAAAAACTGGTTCCAAACTTATTCCACGGTTTTTGAAGTGGTTTATATGTGTGCCTGTACAAGCTATTTCAGGAAGTAAAAGGTAGGGAGAAGGTGGGTGGCCTAGTGTATACTGGCACCTGTGAATTGTGATTTCATGAGGGACTTGATGGAGAAAATCAGATAGGGATATGGCCTCAGGCAGATTGTGCAGCCTGAAAGAAGGTGCAGTAGGAGAGTGGAAGAAGAACCTGAAGAAGTAGTTGTGTGCAGTTAAGTTTCAGTATCCACCAACCAGTTTAAAAATATTCTAAATATAAGAATACTCAAGGAGAATATCAACATAATATATTGGAAATAAAGTAGTTAAACATATTTGATTTTATTCACAGCATTTCATTTATGGGGACAAAATTCAAAAAGTGGTGCATCTTTATCCTCTTACCTTATTTACTTTAGTTACTGTTCCTCCTTTTACCTTTTCATAGGCTGAATCTGAAATAACTTTTCTTATTTTTTAAACTGATTAGATACCAAGTTGACTGTGTTAAGTTTATTAAGGAGTGCTTGAGGGAGTGACTAATAAATGCTAAAATGTTATTTCTGTGCATTTTACATCCCCTTCTCCAATCTGAAGAGTTTTAAGTATTTATTCCTGGTATATTGTGTTCTGTATTTAATTGTAACATGTTATCCAGTTTGCAGCCAGGAAGCATTTGGGTATTCTTTCTTTCCTGATACAGGAGAGAGTGAAACATATCACAGTGTATCATTTCCTGTGTTGTTGTCATTTTCCTTTTTGTGTGTGTATGTCGGGGATGTGGGAGGGGATCGGGATGAAGAAAGCCCCTTTTCTGGTTCCCTATATGTTGAATCAGGGTGTGTAACATATTGCAGTGCTGCTTTTAAAGGGACAAGACATTTCTCCCTGCCTGT